CTGAAAAGAGCTGTTTTTGACAGGGTAAAAAATGTTTTTTTTTACACTACCATTGAGAAATTTTAACCAAACTATGTTACAGACTTTTCATTAAGACCCTAAAGAATCATATCAGCTTGTGGAAAATGGGCATCCGATGACCCCTTTAAAAGCATTCTGGGGATTTGCATGAGCAGAATGCATCATATCACACAGAATATGAAGCTTTTATCAGAGATGGACTCATTTCTGCGCAGTCAGCCTGTGGTTTACTTTCTAATCTTAAACTCGACAAATCTGTGGCTTCAGCTTCTGTCCTCTTAAACCCGAGAAACAGGAAACACAAGACACGCGAAGGAAGTCTTATTCATCGGGCACATGACTGATGCAAACACAAACTGAGCTCTGAATAGACAAAAACACCACACTGACACACTTTACCATGGTAAAACTAGTGATAGACTGACAGATCTACCTGTAGAAAAATAAATAAATAAAAAAGGCTGTATTATTATTATTACTATACATAATCCTATATAGAATACAATCCTATGATCAGAAAAACTTTACATTTTTGTATTATTATTATTAAATACATACATAATGCATGGTAAATTTGTTTTTAAACTGTTTGTTTATTATTATTATTAAATATTATAATTCACTGCTTTAATAATAATTACTATAATTAATTAATTATATAATAATCATTTCATATTCATATATATAATACAATCCTATGATCAGAAAACTTTTTTTTTACATTTTTGTATTGTAATTATTATTATTGTTATGATTGTTGCTTTTGTTGTTGTTAAGTGGTATAATTCACTGTTTTAACAATAATAATAAATGCACATTCAATGAACAGTTGTATTTTTATTAACTAAGATTAATAAAACAAACGTACTGCCCAATGCTAGCTAATCCATTAACTAATGGGACCTTATTGTAAAGCTTAACTAATATTTTTTCGTGGATTGAGCAAATATAGGCTATGCAATAATTGCATATAGAATAATATTGAGTTTTAATTTTTGGTTACACTCATTGTTATTGGTTTCAATGTTACAGTGTAAATATATTTAAAGATATAGATATTTTTTTATTAAAATATCCAAAAACCACTAAAACACTGTGTTATATATTTTGCTTTGTTTGTTTTGAATACGCGCCCTCTAGCAGTGAAAACTTACATATTGTGCCTTTAAGTACCGAGTAATTAATTAACAACATGTACTTAGGATAGGGTTAGTTGCATGTAATTATGCATATTTATTGTTATTACTACAGTAAGTACATGCAACGTGTAACGGACCCTAAAATAAAATTCAGTTTCTTGTTTTAATCAAATCTCAAACTACACTAGTATTCATTATACATTTCTATAAGCGCTGTGCAGAGAAAGAGAAAACAATGAGGTTTTGTTTGGGTTTGGATGCTGCTCTTGTTTTGTAACTGAATGAGAGCGTTTGTCTTCAGTCCGTCTGATGATCTACAGACTCCAGAATATTCCATTAACTCATTTCCTTCTATCTAAACACGTTATATATTACAGCTCCGACGCGCTTTAAAGCATCTGACGTGTTTAGATCCCACCGTCTCAAAGACGTCAAACATCTTCAGAGGCTTTAATCACATTGCCGGCTGAATTGGCGTGAAGCATCACGAGAAAACTATTCGGCTGATGCGTTTATGCCTCTCACATTATATCAGCTGACCGATGCATCGATTTAGATCACAGCGCAATTATCAGAAAGGTCATGGAGTTCATGCTGGTGTTTTCAGGAGAATTTCTTACCCGGAGAACGTTCACAAACGCGTCAAACTGGTCCTCCAGCGGCGCTCCATCCGTCGGCAGAGGCAGACGATAATACCTGCACAAACACATTTACACTTTTTATTTATATTATTATTATTAACCATTTAGACCAGTGTTTCCCAACCTTTTTTTTTTGTAATATTATTTTTATTACATTTTCTTGAAACACTTACAAGACTGACACATGTACATACCGTGTCTGTAACAATACTTACTATGTACAGAAAACAAAACAAACAAACACTAGGGGCTCATATTACATAAAAAGTGTAAAGCACAAAACCAACATACGGGTTAATACAGTCTGTACTTTGGAAGTTAGATTTAATAATCCATTGCAAACAATAACAACCGCAGTTGTAAGGGGTTAATACAATACACATTAAAATATATTTAAATACCCAATCAAGAATTTTGATCCTCTATTATATTGTTAATATCCCTACATTCAATAAATAATAAAAATGGACTCCAGATTTTCTTAAATTGAGCTGGTTTACCCTTAAGCATATAGGTTATCTTTTCCATTGCAATGCATGAAGATATTTCTCTTAACCAATGAGTTATAGTAGGCCTTTCTGGGGCTGGACTTTGGACGCCCCTCATTTAAGTTATATAAGTGATACTCTTGAATACTTGCTAATATATTCTAAAACTGAGATGGAAGTTAGAATATATGGTACAGTTTGGAGGAATATATAAATATGATCTTAAACATACATTTAAATAGCATCAGTTATTAAAAAAATGATGGTGTCCTAAATTGAATATAGTCTATTTGGGAAACCCTTGAGAGAAGCCCTAAAAGCATGCAGTCTAGTCTTATTAACGTGATCTGAAAGCTGCCTTGCATTAGACATATGTGCCAGATAATACGATTTCGCTCAATAATTGATCAAAATGTTACGGGTTATTCTTGTTAAGCATGTTTGTGTTGTTGTTCAAGGAAGTATTTCTATCAAAGGATTTTCCAGACGTTCATAAATCTACTCTGGTTCATTGTTTAATGGCTTTACATGTGTTCTTTCTCTTTTAATGCTTCTCTGTTGTTGTTTGGATTGTGTCTCTGTGGCTGCCAGGAATTTAATGGGGTAACAGCAGATGCTTCTCATTTGTCACATTGTCTGTCCATTTTAATATGAATTCAGTTCATCGTTTATTTATGTGTGTTAATATCATGATGTCTGATCCACTCATTTTCTAACTATTTCAGCCATGCCTAGACATTCTTAGGTTATGCATTAGGTGGCTGTCAATTTAACATTTATAGTATGATTCATTATTTAAATATGCAATTAATCATGGCTTTTTACTCATAAGTATGTACCATAATAATAAATGTTCCTACCATCAGTGCAGTTCAAGCTTGAAGAGCCACTTCATGTTTTGTTCATCTGAATCATGTGAAATGCTTTGAATATTCAAACATTATAAATATTGCTTTCATTGCATAGTCATTGAATAGCGGGTTTAAAAATATCATAAAAATATACTTTAATGCATGCAAAGTCCTTCGATGCATGTAAAGGACATTATTAAAAGAAAATCGTGTGAGCCTGAAAAGTTAGGCCTTGGGTTCTTCCAGCACTAAACATCATTTAAGATTTAGAAAGTTAGTTAATTTGTAGTACTTAGGTTTTTATTTATGATGTCAGTCAGCTTATACTGATATCTAGCAGCAAAGATGCCAGATCATTTGGGGCTTATATTCAATTAATTGCAAATATTTTGATTAATTCAATATAAATATCTAAGTTATTGACAGCTGTGCAGGTGGGATTTTTTCCCCCCCAAAATATACATTTTCTAAAATATAATATGTTTTGTTATTCACAGAAACAACAAAGGCCGAGACATTAAGACCATTAAGTCCTTAAGGGTTCTCCGAGTTCTCCGTCCCCTCAAGACCATCAAAAGACTTCCGAAGCTCAAGGTATCTGCTCTTTCACACCTTATATACTTTACATTTGTAGCAAAAAAAAAAACCTGAATGGACAATCCAACTCTCTGCTCACTTATATTTACATTATGCCTACTTTGAATATTAAGAAAAAAGAAAAACTGGGGATCTTGCACACTTTTTCATTCCACATGTGACAAATAAATTCTTCCAAAAGAGTTCAACTCAATACTTTCAATTAATTTGCGCTGTATCCCAAAAAAAAAAAAGGATTACAGTAGATGAACGGCAAGTATTGAGTTTTACTCAAAATAGTTTGGAATATTCAAACGTTATAAATAATTATTTTTTATTGCATAGTCATCATCTAACAGGTTTAAAAATTCTGTAAACATTTACTAATGCATGTAAAGGACGTTATTAGTCATTTCTTTGAGTCTCAAAAATTAGGTCTTGGGTTCCTCCTGCGCTAAATCCCATCCCACATTCAATATTAAAAAGAAATGCTATTCTGTATTTTTTTTAGTCTGTTTATTCTTCCATCTACTTTTGCTGTGGCGATAAACTAATGTACGTGCGTGTAATGCTATGTATTTCAAACACAGAAACTCTAGTCAAGAAATATCTTATTCCAAGCATATTCCTTTGAAACAGTCTCACAACAACACACACAGTTTAATGAATGAATGAATGAATTAGGATGCTCTGCTGTCCAAATATGAGTAATCCCTCTGTGAATAATTAAAAGTAGGCTAAATATAACTTGCAGTACTTTTTCATTTTAAATCAATATGCAGTCATATACAGAGCCAGAATTATGAGAATACTCATCAGACCATTTAACTAAACCATAATTGAATCAGAGATGGGAGATCATGAGAGATCTTTGGGGATCGAGATGACAAAGAAATGAGAAGTTAGCGGCCTAGTGCACTTCAGTTCCAACCCCATCTCATGAGAAAGCATAACTACTTTACAAGGCGGTGATTTTGTACAAATTAGACTGGTATGGAAGTGAAATATAAGCATGAAGGTCCACCAGTTTAACCCATAAACCTAACTGTTAGTGAAGCATAAACAGATCGAAAGAAAGCTTTTTAGCTTTCAGTCTCCAGTCATTGAAGAGCAAAGTCACATAGGATTGACTTGATATGATTACTATAGCAACCAACATGCTAGAAAATGACTGCACTGCCTAAAAAAGCACAAACGTTTGATTTGATCACTTGCAAATAAAAGTGTAGACAATGCAATGCTGCGTGCACCATGTTCATCATGATCCAGTTTACACTAATTTAATGACTAAACATACATTTAAGACTTTAGGTAAAATTGTGATGTTGATTGCATTAGATAATATACTGTTCTGGAATGCATCATTCTGTAAATGGCACAAAGCTGCGTATGAAACTGATCTCATCTGCATTGCCGGTTGAAGATCTGGGATGTGCGATATGATGAGTATTTCTGTTGTCCTGCAGGCTGTGTTCGATTGCGTGGTCACATCCCTGAAGAACGTCTTCAACATCCTCATCGTCTACCAGCTCTTCATGTTCATCTTTGCTGTGATTGCAGTGCAGCTCTTCAAGGGAAAGTTCTTCTACTGTACCGACGGATCGATGGGGACGCAAAAAGAATGCCAGTAAGTGCAACCGTGTGCTTTATATATACTGTATGTGTGAGTGTGGGATCAGAGGTGGGTAGTAACAAATTACATTTACTTGTATTTTTACTTTAACTCAAGTACCTTTCTAATGAAAATGGTACTTTTACTTTGTGGAGCAATGCTGCTCTTATTACTTTATTTTAATGCAATACATGTTCAGAAATGCATAGTTTATTCAATGCATGCTGATTTTTTTTCTTTTTTCTGTGGCATGAGCGATGCCTCAATCGTGGGCCAATGTCTAATAATTCAAATGTAGCTGTATACATTATTATAAAAAGCAATGATTTTGGGGCAACATATGAAATGCCAGAATTAATGCTTGCTCAGCCATGCATATACATTCTTAAGGCTGTCAAATTTTTTTTTATTTATCTTGAAACCTTGAAACACTTACAAGACTGACACATGTACATACCGTGTCTGTAACAATACTTACTATGTACAGAAAACCAAACACTAGAACACTAGGGGCTCATATTACATAAAAAGTGTAAAGCACAAAACCAACATACGGGTTAATACAGTCTGTACTTTGGAAGTTAGATTTAATAATCCATTGCAAACAATAACAACCGCAGTTGTAAGGGGTTAATATAATGCACATTAAAATATATTTAAATACCCAATCAAGAATTTTGATCCTCTATTATATTGTTAATATCCCTACATTCAATAAATAATAAAAATGGACTCCAGATTTTCTTAAATTGAGCTGGTTTACCCTTAAGCATATAGGTTATCTTTTCCATTGCAATGCATGAAGATATTTCTCTTAACCAATGAGTTATAGTAGGCCTTTCTGTGTTTTTCCCAACCTTTTTTCTGCCGCGGCACAGTTTTGGGAAGTAAAAAAATCCCATGGCACACCAAGCATTAAAAAAAAAATATATATATATATACACACACACACACACACACAGAGGTTTTTTTTCCCTCTCAATAATGAAACAAACAATGCATCATCAGAGTTAGTATTTTGGCTTTATACATCATACCTGCAAACTCACAAGAGGTTAAAAAGGTGACATAGTTCGGAATATAAGCCTTGCAGAGGGGTGTGGAAAAAAGAAGAAAGTTTTTGAGGATTTAACATGTAAATGAAACAAAATAAATGGAAAAGACAACATATGCTTCAAGTAAAAAAGCACATTTATACCACAAACTTCTTGCACCTTGACGTGTTCCTTGGGTCGCACCCAGGTCCCGCCTTAAAACACAACAGAATCAGTGGAAAAAGTACAGTCACAAATTAAACAAGAAATACGAATGCACAGCAAAAATAAAAAATAAAATCTTTTAAAATCATGTTGAAAACACATAGTTTGATAATATGTTACAACTGAATACATATTTTACTTACACCCTGCAATGTGCACATATATTTTTTTTTTGTAATATTATTTTTATTACATTTTCTTGAAACACTTACAAGACTGACACATGTACATACCGTGTCTGTAACAATACTTACTATGTACAGAAAACAAAACAAACAAACACTAGGGGCTCATATTACATAAAAAGTGTAAAGCACAAAACCAACATACGGGTTAATACAGTCTGTACTTTGGAAGTTAGATTTAATAATCCATTGCAAACAATAACAACCGCAGTTGTAAGGGGTTAATACAATACACATTAAAATATATTTAAATACCCAATCAAGAATTTTGATCCTCTATTATATTGTTAATATCCCTACATTCAATAAATAATAAAAATGGACTCCAGATTTTCTTAAATTGAGCTGGTTTACCCTTAAGCATATAGGTTATCTTTTCCATTGCAATGCATGAAGATATTTCTCTTAACCAATGAGTTATAGTAGGCCTTTCTGTGTTTTTCCCAACCTTTTTTCTGCCGCGGCACAGTTTTGGGAAGTAAAAAAATCCCATGGCACACCAAGCATTAAAAAAAAAATATATATATATATACACACACACACACACACACAGAGGTTTTTTTTCCCTCTCAATAATGAAACAAACAATGCATCATCAGAGTTAGTATTTTGGCTTTATACATCATACCTGCAAACTCACAAGAGGTTAAAAAGGTGACATAGTTCGGAATATAAGCCTTGCAGAGGGGTGTGGAAAAAAGAAGAAAGTTTTTGAGGATTTAACATGTAAATGAAACAAAATAAATGGAAAAGACAACATATGCTTCAAGTAAAAAAGCACATTTATACCACAAACTTTTTGGACAGTGCAACTCTGTTGTCATCGGTGTTCATACTTCTCTTCGTGAGCATGGAGTAATGTATTTTTGCAAATGTTAGTGTTCACATTAGAGTGCGCATACTATCAACAAACTCCATCTTTCCACTGCAGAGGAAACAGAAGCTGCATCTGAAGAGGCATTAGACGTATTTACACAGGCTGTTGGATGAAGCTGAGGTGCCATAAATGCATTTACACTTTTATAAGATTAATGTTTTAAATATTTTTGAACATACAAGTTAAAAATTTTGGGGAAAATGCAATACTTTTAAATATGAAACTAAACCACCAGTAGATGTCGGTAAATGACTGTTTTAATGCGCGAGTCATTAGTCATTCATTCAAACTGCTGATTCATTCAGAATCCAGCGTCTGTCTTTATGAAAGGGTTACTGAATCATTGACTCACTTGATTCGTTTAAATTCGTGGATTCATTCAGTATCGAATCACTGCTGTGTTGGAAATTAACAAAATATCTTCATGGAACATGATCTTTATTAATATCCTAATGATTTTTGCCATGAAAGAAAAATTGATAATTTTGACCCATACAATGTATTGTTGGCTATTGCTACAAATATCCCCCAGCAACAGCTTTTGTGCTGCAGGGACACATATATGATCAGACACTTGCACTTAACATTTTCTAAAAATCATACTCAAATGGAGTTAACGAGGTTTTTGAGATCGGTGTTTTATCCGTCATAAGAACGGCCGCATCTGAGACAGTAAATTAATCATTTTCATCAGTTTGCAGGTTATAAAGTTTATTGTAGCTACTGTATATGGGCGCTCAGTTTCTCTTGTTGTTTAATACATTTGGCCAAAAATGTCATGATATTAAAGACGCACAGGATATTTGAAACGTACAAAAGTGTATTGGCTACAACTAGCCAGCAAATGCCCAGACTCTTCTCTGCTCTTTAAACACACAAAAACATTAGCTTTTCCACACAGCGTTTCTTGAGTAAAGGAAAGGCTGCTCTTATTCAAACATGAGTTCTTTATTAACCCTTGCATTGTGAAGAAGTAGCACTTCATTCTGAACGAACATATATGATCAGACACTTGCACTTAACATTTTCTAAAAATCATACTCAAATGGAGTTAACGAGGTTTTTGAGATCGGTGTTTTATCCGTCATAAGAACGGCCGCATCTGAGACAGTAAATTAATCATTTTCATCAGTTTGCAGGTTATAAAGTTTATTGTAGCTACTGTATATGGGCGCTCAGTTTCTCTTGTTGTTTAATACATTTGGCCAAAAATGTCATGATATTAAAGATGCACAGGATATTTGAAACGTACAAAAGTGTATTGGCTACAACTAGATAGCAAATGCCAAGAAGACTCTTCTCTGCTCTTTAAACACACAAAAACATTAGCTTTTCCACACAGCGTTTCTTGAGTAAAGGAAAGGCTGCTCTTATTCAAACATGAGTTCTTTATTAACCCTTGCATTGTGAAGAAGTAGCACTTCATTCTGAACGGAGCGGGGTGGAGTTATGAGGTTTGACGGACAATTTGAGGATCCAATGGCATTACGAGGTTTAGTCACATGCTCCTTTTAATGCTTTTCATTGGTTAAATATTTGTAAAACCCACAAATGGACAAGACAATGACCAATAGCACTGATTTAAAATAATTAAGTAGTTGGGAAACACCGGTTTAGACCACATGTAACAATGAAGAAGCAGTTCTGTGCACCTGTATGTGGGCAGGGTGAAGCGCGGGCGCTTATACACCTCCTCTGTGACGTGAATGTCTTCCTCACAGCTGATGGAGATCTTCTGGGGCTCTCCTTTAAAATGCTCGATGTCGTTGTAGACGTAGAACACGTTGTCGTTGAGTTTGGCGAAGTCCTGAAGCTGAAAACACAAATAACTTCAGATCAGGTCCATCTGTGATATTAGCGTGAAATTAAAATGACAGGAAAGCATAAACATTTGGGTCAAAATGGGGAAATCATTTTTAAAAAACGTGCAAAGTGCTTAGAAATGTAATTGTTCTATTTATGCTATTTTCATGTATTATAACATGAATGGTTTATATCATTTTTTAAAACAAATTTGATTTAATTGTCCTGTTTTATGTTCTTATACCCAATAACAACACAATGTCTTTGTTGTCTTGTCTATACTATTTCATATTAATATTAGCAAAAGTTTATCATATTATAATTAATCATGAGATCAGAAAACATTTAAATTATTTATTATTTATAACTAAATAGTATATTTCACTGCTTTAATATGATAGTATTTAATATACAATGAATTCATATAAATATATTTAATCCTGAGATCAGAATGGTTTTAATTTATTATTATTATTATTATTATTAAGTATGCCTCACTGCTTAAATATTAATAATAATAATAATTATTATTATTATAATGCATTAATATAAGTATTATTAATCCTAAGTTCAGAAAAAAATAATATATATAAATTAAATATATAAATAAAAATATAAAATAAATAGTCATTATAATTAATCCTAAAATCAGAAAACATTATTATTATTATTATTATTATTATTATGTATGCTTCACTGCTTTAATAAAAATAATAATAATAATCCAATAAAAGTATAACTAAACCTAAGATCAGAAAATATTACTATTATTATTTTTTCTGATTAATTATATTTACATAGATGCATTATTATTGTTATTATTATTAATCATAAAATCGGAAAACAACAAAAAAAATTAATAATAATAATAATAATGTATAAAAATGATTATTATATTATAAAGTTAATAATTTTTTTCCTGATCTCAGGACAGTTACTGTATATCATATCAAAATAAATTTTAATTCAGTTCAAATGTTCATCCAGGCCTGCATTCATTGTCTGTACTTGTTTATGTTTCCGAATAAATTAAGTGAGTGTCATTAACTTTTTTTCTGTTCTGTTGATCGTATCCTCTATATTCTCATCTCCTGACCTCTTTTCTGATGGTGAGCTCTAGATTCTCCGAGCAAGCGTCGCGTCCGAGATCATGCAGGTTCTCATGAAGGTTCTCCTTCCTCCGGGGCGTGTAGGGAAGAAAGTCTGCCTCCAAACGCAGGAACACAACGGGCTCCTCACGCAAACAGAATAAAATCACCTCCTTTTGAGAGCAAACGCATGTAAATCAGGCCAAATAAAACTCAACTCATAACATAGTCAGTAATCATGATGGTTATTTAAACTCATTTGCTCGAACGCAACAGAGTTTCATTCAAAGCATCAGTTTAATCAGCACCGCAGGTGTGACAAACACCTTATCAGCAGCATTATTTGCACATCGCTTTCTCTTGATAGAAGCTCAACACAGAGCCGCAGGAGATTTCCACGTACTGACCTGATGGCCTTGACCCTGCAGTCTGTGGAGGACCTGTTTGAAGCCACTCAGGCTGGGCTGGCCCATGCCGTAGAGCGGGAAGCTGCCTTTGCTCTGGCGGAAGTTAGGCGCTCCGTATGAGCCGCTGGTGCTGAGGACATCTGCTTTGCTGAAAACATCCTGCACCATGAAGTAAGAGCCCTGAGAAGAGCGCGATCAGATCATCAGCCGTCTTTACCGCCACTTTAAACACTCAAAAAAGGTATTTTTAAGCAGAATTAATGCTTTCACACACGTTGCATAATCACAAGGTGAAATTCTGCTCAGAGCCGTTCATGTCCTCAAACTAAAATTATTAATTTCTATGGCAACGTTCATAATGGCAAAATGATTTGATTTGCTGTTGATGCCGGTAAAATCCCTAAATTAACACAGCTCTACATGTATGCATTTGGCAGATGCTTTTATCCAAAGCAGTTTCCATTGCATTCAAGCTAAAAAACATTCTGTAGGAATCAAATCCATGCAGCAGATAAAATAACACATCAAACAGAAATGAGGCACAAAACTAGCTTTAACTGTTGGGTTTGCTGCTATTTTAGGTCTTTTTATACAAGTTTATTATTTATTTTTATTTCATTTGCCTATAAATATCTAAATGTATACACTGTGGTAGCATTTGTTATACTGCTTTTAATTTATTTAATTTAAAAAAAACTTAAAATTAAAAATGTTCACATTTTAAAGTCATTGTTAATTTAGTATTTTTAGTTTTTATTCATCATTTTAATTAGTTTTGTTTAATAATCTCCATTTTCGTTTTATTTTTTGATTGAAGTTTTAGCACTGAAATACATTTTTTGTATTAAACCTAAACAGTAATGTAAAAAATAAAACAAAAGCTGTCATATCAAAATGTTCAGATTTATTACAGTCAATTATTATTTTTTTTTAATTCATAATTTAAATTACTTTTTATTTTTAGAATCTCTGCTTTCATTTTCATTTTTGGTTAAAAGTTTTAGCACTAAAAAAATACAATTTAATTAAACCAAAACCGTAATATAAAAAAAAAAGCTCAAAATTCACAAAAAAATTAAACAAAATTAAACAAAATAAAATAAAATAGTGCATAAGCAATACTAAAGTAGCACTGATGACGCCACAAAAGGCAAGAGGAAGAAGCTTTCATAACAAGGGTTCAATAAAGATTTTTACAGTTGGAAAATTTTAATTATGAAAATTCTGACATGCCATTCATGTAGCATTAACCCCAGCTTTTATAAAATGATCTGCTAAATGCCTAATCACTACTTTATGATGTAGAAAACCTGAGCATGCAACTCCAGAAGATCATCAAATAACGAGATGTTCTGGAAAGGCACCGGAACAATGGCGAGTGTTTGACAAGCGTTTGTGTTATCTGTTGACTTGCAGCGAAACTCATCATTGGCTCGTCAGCAAACAGAAACTAACGAGCAAACAAAGGGAACGAGTAAAATAAAATAAAATAAATAATCCCACCCCATTAATGTGATGTTATTATTAATTATTAAATTTTTTATTTTTATTTCATTCGACTACAAATATCTGGATTTATACATTGTGGCAGCATTTGCTATACTCTCATAAATTTTTCAATTTATTCATTTAATTTAAAAAAGCACATTCAAAATGAACATTCTCATATCTCACAGTCAGTGTTATTTTAGTTTTTTTTCCAATTAGTTTTTATTTTTATATGTTCGGTTTCATTTTAATACATTTTTTTGGTTGAAGTTTTAGTACTTTTGCTTTGTGGTTTGTCATTTTATTAGGCTTTTTTTAATGTGTCTATATTAGGGCTGTCAGCTTAATGCGTTAATTAGTTATGAAAAATAATGCGAGTTCAACTAAATGAAAATGAGAAATGTTGCTTTGGCAACTAGCTTTTTTTTTTTAGTTAGTGATTATTTTATTTTAAGTAACAGTAATGAGAATTTGAATGGAAAATGTGCTTAATTGTCATGAAAAAAAAATCAAACAACAAAAAACTAAATCTAAATAACTAACTATAAATCTAAAAATACACTTAATGTTCTGCAAAAATGCACCGTTTTCCTGAGAGAGCAAGAGTCCGGCTCACCTGGACCAGATGGTGCTCAGGCATGTTATCTGAGATCCTCCCAACTTTATAGTTTGTACGGAGAACATCATCGTGGATCTGAAACTCCTGTCTGCAGTTATACCTACAAACACACACACAGAGACTCAATCAGGCGAATGATCTGTGACTGCAGGCGCTCTCAGAACAGAGCCGGACGGCCGGACGTACGTGATGACCACAGGAGCCACTTTATTAGTGATGATGGACTTGGCCTTGTTGCTGTGGATGTTGAGCGTCTGGAAGGAGCCGCTGCTTGTCGACCGCCTGCTGTCCATCATCCCGTTGCCGTGGAAACTCTCATGCAGCGTGGGCTGGGGAGCAGCGCTGGCAGTCGTACCCATACTCCTCTAGCAGCTGTCAATCAAACAAACACATTACACACCATCAGACTCAAACTAAAGTAGTGCCGATTAATCGCATCCAAAATAAAAGTTTGTGTTCACATAATATGTGTGTGTACTGTGTATATTTATTATGTATATATAAATACACACACACACACATGCGCGCATGTATATATTTAAGAAAAATGTGTTATGTTTATATTAATTACATTTATATATCATATAAATTATATGGATTTAAATATACATGTAAATATTTTCAAAATATATTGCCCACTGTATGTGTTTTTGTTTATATATAGCCTACATAATAAATATACAGTACACACATTATGTAAACAAACTTTAATTTAGGATGCAATTAATCACGATTAATCATTTGACAGCTCTAAACTAAAGACAGAACATCACAAGAATCGTCTTCCCATTTCAGATCCAACAGATTCTGATCATGCAAATCTGATTAGTTAGTAGCAATCTGGGTTTTTTGGACATGGTAGCATAGTCTACTAGTAGCAAACTTTGTTGCATTATAGCCTCAAGAAGAAAATCTCTTCTTCCAAACATCCCTGAAACGGTTTCAAATATAGAACTTCATGTATAGACTACGGAGAGCAAGTTAATGTGGTTCAACGACTATTTCAGTGTTTTGTTTTGTTTTTTAGCACTCAGGCACTAGATATCCAATGCAATTGGTTTGAGAGGGAAACAAGACACATTTCTAGTTTCAACATTATTTATTCTTTAGATATTTCACTTTAAATACAATAAATGTCAGATATATACAAAGTGTGCCACATTTGGTTTCTGACCGCTGAATATGTGTACCATTTACACCTGGAGCCATACTGAGATTCCAGTATCTCTGGAGCTGAACCATACAGAGCCTTAAAAATTACGATACTAAAAGACAAGTTGGTTAAGAACTAAACTCTTAAAGAGTATTAATATATCTTTAACACTTCTCGAGTTACATGCATGCAAACTTTGGGGGAAAAGTTTGAAAAGTCTTTTTTCCCTGTTTTTGAACATCACCTTTAGCAATCTGTGTTGCATTATATGCCAAAGTCAACAGATTTTACTAACAGAGCTACCGATCTCTGTGTAAAAAATAATATAATACTGCTGCCTGCTTTCTAAAGTCTTTTTTAGCCCCTGTAATTTGCACGACTGTTTTCAGCATTGATAATAATCAGAAATGTTTCTGGAGCAGCAGATCAGCATATTATACTGATTTCTGAAGATCATGTGACACTGAAGACTGGAGGAATGATGCTGAAAATACAGCTGCGCATCACAGAAATACATTACAGTTGAACAGATATTAACATAGAAAACAGCTGTTGGAAATTGTAATAATATTTCAAAATTTTTACTGCATTTTTGATCAAATAAATGTAGTCTTGGTGAACATGAGACTTTTTTCAAAAACATTAAATATATCAAATCCACCAACTGGATAAGAAAAATAGACTTAATTCAAGTTTATTTTTCCAACTCCACTAGCAAATTTTTTTTCTTGTTTTAAACATGAGCTCACCTAACTTTGATCAACTGCTCAGAAATAAAGGTCATTTTGCATCTCAATTAAATGCATCCTGATTTAAGAGTGTTTAGATATTTGTACTGGGAAACAGTGTACCTACTAACAAACAAAAAAAAGTATCAAAAGTTCATTACTTGTACTGCATGCACACAGTAAAACAAAAACGAGTCTTGAAGCTCAGCACTCACTCACACACTCACTCACACACACACACAAACACACAAACACTCACACACACATCTGTCGTGTCCTTCTGGAGCCTCAACTGCAGCAGATGTGAAGCTCCGACTCATTTGGGGTCCATAAAGAGCCCGGTTTTCTATCCCGAGCTCACGAGTGATTCCCGCAGCCTCTTTCTTCAGAACAAGACAATAAATTCATGCCATGCTGAATAATCTCAGTCTGCAGAGTGGCTTGTTTTTCATGCTCGCCGGATGAAGCTCTTATATAAGTGGGGCAAATTTAAGGTGACATCTTCAGAGCGCAGCCTGCAGAAGTGCGCCCTAGATGAACGTCTGGCCTGAAAACCCACCCACGGGCCGCCAGACAATCGCTCACAAACATCCTCTCTGAAAAACAAGCCACCACAACCCCGTCTTTCTGTTTACACGGCCACCGCAGGCACGCTTCTCGCCTTAACTTTTACAGGTGTTTACTTCCAGTTCTGCTTGAGAAAGCAGGGGTTGCATGTCATCTTCAAGGACACGCTGGTGTTTTTGAGTGTTTTAGTCACTTTTCAGTATCTGGGTCAACGTGACCTGGAAACAAACCTGCAATTATTGTCTTCCGCTGCGTCATTTCTAGTGCTGGATACATTTCAAAGCAGCATGAGCTCATCAGCTGAGTGTGAGAGGAGAAGAAAAAACAGTTTGAGCCTAAGACAAAATAAATATAAAAAATAAATATAAAAATTTATAAATATAATAAAATTATATAAATATAAAAAATGTAAATTAAAAAAATAATAAGATTAAATGCAAATACAAAAACACAATAAAAATAAAAAACAATATAGGATAAAAAATTTAATTAAAAATTAAAAAAAAGATAAAAATAAAAAAAACAGAATAAAAAAAATATAGGATAAAAATTAAATACATACAAGATAAAAAAATCAAAATTAAATTAAAAACAATAAATTAAATACAAATAAAAAATAAAATAGGATAAAAACAAAAAATAAAATACATTTTAAAAATAAAAAGCTATAAAAACTAACAATAAAAAAATAAAAAAAATAGGATGAAAATGAAATATTAAAAATTACAACAAAAAAATGAAAAATGAATATATATATTTAAGTTTATTAATTTTTTTGTTAATGTTATTTATTTTAGTTTATTGTTTTTTAGTATTTTAGTTCGTCGACCACAAAATAAAAGACATTCCTACATAATCACTATCGTCTCCATCCTCAATGAAATCGGGAAGCACAACAAAACTCTGGTTCTCAAAGTGACAGAATTCCCTCAGAAAAGCCAATTACTGCGGCCCATTCACAGGGAAAATAAAATCTCCCAGTGTCCTCGGCGGAAGACGGGAAAGCTGCGAAGATGCGCACAGATGGGCATTCCTGCTTCCCGCATCCACAGCTATTGAAATTCTGCGGAGACGGCCGCTCGCACAAAAGGGTCTCGGCGCAGACGGGAAGTGCTCTGCAGCTGCAGGAAGCATCTGCGGTCGAACGGGCTAATCAGAGGAAGGATGCAGAACGCTCCTCATTCTTAAGAGATGTACATCACAGATCAGACGGCACATTTATAGCTATGAGAAGAGCTGGGAACTCTGCCATCTCAATCTCAAACTGCTGGCTCGTGACCCAAAAATCAGTCACACAGGTCTGTCCTGCAACATACAGCAGGGAAATGCATGCTAAATGCAAATAATACATTGCAACTGACCTAATGAAACCAAAAAACACCATGTGCAAACAGTTTATAGCAAGTCAAATTAGACCGATTTCAACATGAACTGGTCGTATGACACCATAATCTTCAAAAAAACATGAACAAAACTACACGAAAGAAAAGAAAACATGACTCCGATGATATTAAACATTTAGTCTTTGCAATAACAATTTGCAGAAAGCACATAATGCACTCTGTGCTCAAAATAAAAAGAGAAAAATACAATAAAATATTACGAAATAATATAATAAATAAAATAAAATGTAATTAAATGTGCTAAACAAATAAAAAAAATAAAAAATATTATATACAATTAGAAAATGCTAAAAAATATTTGCTAAATAGTTGTATTTATCATATGTTCTCGTATTTATTTTGTGTTATTTCTGTAACACGTTTTTGTAAAGTCATAATTTTGTTATAATATAATACTTTTGTTTGGTATTTGCAATGGTTACGGTTTACTAGCCTAGGGTTTTTGGTGAATTTTATTCAAACTAATTTTAATGCCGATATCACAATCATTAATTATAACAACAACAGCATGATAATAATTGTTAATAATAATAATAACAATTATTATTATTATTGTAATAATAGATACAGAAATGTATTGTCCCTGTTTTTTAATTAATAGACAACAAGTGAGATTTCAATGATAATTTGACAATTAAACTAGTAAAGGCCCCTGTTTCCAGTTCAGAAATAACTCATATTTACAGTTAGTGCGCTTACAATAGAGTCCATTTTTGTAGATGATGTTATTTGTTACTCCTCCAGTGTAAGAGCAGCACTGCACACACTTCATACAAACCAGAGGAAGATGAGATGATGCTCTGGGGTGAAAGATTATAAACCTGCTGCATTCATAATCTGATTATTCTGACTGAAACATGATCTTCAAAGCCGAAACGGAAGGTGGGTTTTGATTAAATTGATTGGATGGTTAAAAAAAGCTTCTCTATATTCTGAAAAAAAAGAGAGATTGATGTTGACAGCAAAACTAAATGCACTAATAAATCATAAGTGTATTAATAAAGTAAATAGGATTTTAACTTATAATATTTTTTAATCTCCATATGCTCATAAAATAAAAATATATTTAAAAATAAGAAAAATAAAAGAACAAATAAAATGAAAAAAATAAATAAAATAAAAATAATGAAATAAAAATTATAAACAATTAGATAATAAAAAAGTAAAAATAAAATAGAAATGAATGTAATGAAATAAAACAAACATAATAAAATTAAAAAATTAAAATAATAAAATTAAAAAATATTTAAAAATAAGATCAAAATAAAAAATAATAAAATGAAACTGTAGATGATGTTATTTGTTACTCCTCCAGTGTAAGAGCAGCACTGCACACACTTCATACAAACCAGAGGAAGATGAGATGATGCTCTGGGGTGAAAGATTATAAACCTGCTGCATTCATAATCTGATTATTCTGACTGAAACATGATCTTCAAAGCCGAAACGGAAGGTGGGTTTTGATTAAATTGATTGGATGGTTAAAAAAAGCTTCTCTATATTCTGAAAAAAAAGAGAGATTGATGTTGACAGCAAAACTAAATGCACTAATAAATCATAAGTGTATTAATAAAGTAAATAGGATTTTAACTTATAATATTTTTTAATCTCCATATGCTCATAAAATAAAAAAATATTTAAAAATAAGAAGAAAATGAAAAAAATTTATAAAATAAAAAGAATGAAATAAAAAGTAAATTATAAACAATTAGATAATAAAAAAGTAAAAATAAAATAGAAATGAATGTAATGAAATAAAACAAACATAATAAAATAAAAAAATTAAAATAATAAAATTAAAAAATATTTAAAAATAAGATAAAAATAAAAAATAATAAAATGAAACAGAAAATAAAAGTAATGAAATAAAAAGTAAATTATAAACAATTAGATAATAAGTAAAAAATAAAATGGAAATGTAATGAAATAAAACAAACATAATAAAATAAATAATAAAATTAAAAATTAAAATAATAAAATATAAAAATAAGATAAATACAAAAATTATAAAATGAAACCGAAAATAAAAGTAATAATAAAATAAAATTATAAAAAATAAGCTTAATTTTAAAATAAAAAGTAACAGTCTATCAATCAAAGTACTACAATATTACCATCCGTTACTGCTTTTTTGCCAGAATAAAGAGTCATTAATCCCTGCTTGAGCTGACACTCCTCACAAACAGAAGCTCTTCTGTGGTTTCTATTATAATCCATTAAGGGCATTATTATTTTCTTCTCAACTAAACACCACATAACACCTCTTTCTCCATATTTAGTGAGATTTATCATCTTCCCAGAACCGTCCATCACGTCTCGCTTGAATGTCTCCTTCACAAACCTCGTCTGAAAGAGGCCGAGTTTTAATTCAGAAGTATCTCAAGCGTACAAAAAAGCTCAACAAAGACACTCTTGGTGCGAACACAAACGGGTTTGATCAGGTTTAAATCCTAAACTGCTCACAAAAAGTGTGAAATACATCTTTAAACAGAGTTCAAAGGGGATTTAGAAGTTTAAGAGAAACAACAAGCTAAAATCCTTGTGAAGAAGCATCTCTTTCACAAAGAAGATATTTTGAAGAATGCCGAGAACCAAACAACATTAGTGCTCATCGACTTCCACTGTATAGACAAAAACACGAGACATTTGACTAAATTAATTAATAAAGTAAACATTTCATTTTTCAAAGTATCTTAGGTGTTCCACAGAAAGTCATACATAATATTAAAAAAAAAAAACTTCAAAGTCATAAATAAAACTAAGATTATTGGAGTATTTATTACAGGAAAATGCAATTTCATTTTTTTCAAAATTTCACGTTTAATCCAATGTGCTACATTTCGTTACTTTGGAATTATTTGTAGCAACAACTCCTGAGAGAAAATTGTTTCTACACCATTTTTTATTCATTTATTTATTTGTTTTTTCCCCATTTTTTTCACTGTACAGGCTTGGAACAGTGTTGTTGTTGTTTTTTTATTATTAGATTTTTATTAATAGCCTAAATTAGTTTTTATCCTTATTTGAATTTTTTGTAAAGTTTTAGCGATTTTTTTGCGCGCTTTTGTCATTATTATTAGTTTTTGTTTTCTAATATGTCTTTATATATTTTTTATTTTAGCATTACGTTAAAATAATTGAAAACAAACTGTTGCCTTGGGAACTAGCTGAATTAAAATAAATTTTAACATTCATGCTTTCATAGTTTTAATTTTAGTTAACTATAATGGAATGACAAAACGGAAATAAATTAGTAAATTGTGCCAGAACTTTCATTTTTGTGGTAAAAATCCTTTTAAGACAGTCAAAATACCCTGTTAAGTCCACTTCACAGGGATCTGTGTGGAAATCAGAACGCATCTGTAATCTGTGGCACATTATTACACACCATGTGTAATAGACAGAAGGGTCAGAGTTACAAAACCATGACAAAATCCCTTCAGCGGGGAAGAGCCCTCAGAAAAATGAGGATGTTGCGTGTCTTTAAGAGCAGAACATCCTAATGCATGGATCCAGTGATGCTCACATGAATGATTCACTGGAGAAAGACTCAAGTTTTCACTGGGGTTTTACACTATGGATATTGTCAAAGCTCAGCACGTCTTCCCGTTTGAGTGAGAACAACTGAAAAAACTAACTTCCTCACACACCTTCCGGTTGCAACACCGCGGGATGTGCATGTTACTTCACCATGGCACTGAACGCTTTACATATTCACACACCGTAATATTTACCATTCAACTGAGGTTCCTGTGAACTAATAACCTACAGGTTTATTTAAACAATGTTTTGCATTAGACACAAAATTAAAATCACACCATCTTAATCACACACTTGAAATAATACTAAAACATGGCATTACAAACAAAACAACTATAAAAATAATTGCAAAAGTTAGTAAATATATTTCAATCTTTTATTAAAAAATAAATATATATTATGAACACACGCAAATATATATAAATGAATGACTGAAAAATAAATACATACTAAAACATGACATTACAATTAAACAAAACAACTATAAAATGTCAAAAGTTAGTAAATAAGTTACTAAATATATTTTGATATTTTAATAAAAATAAATGCATATGAACACAAACACAAACAAACAAGTAAATAAAGTAATGCTAAAACATCAAACAAAGTAACTACAAAAAATTGCTAAATTTAGTAAATAAGTTTGTAAATATATTTTGATATTTTCTTAAATAAATACATATGAACACACACAAAAAAAATATGGCATTAATAATCAAGCAAAACAACTATAAAATTATTTGAAACATTAGTAAATATATTTTGATATTTTAGTTACACACACACACGATGCATGTGAAGACATTTAAAATAATACTACATGTACACAGACACCACTGTATTATCACTATGCCCTACAAACATGGTACTTTTGTAAGTGAGAGCTCAAACTCAAACGTCAACAGACCAAAGACCCACAGTGCATGCAACTACTCATGCAACACTGCATGCAACACTCAGAAGAACTGATGTGCCCCTCAGTCAAAGCATCAGCCAAACGCATGACTGTAAACTAAATATAAGCACTTGAACCGAACTTGTCCCATGTCTGAACGCAAATATACTGTAGGTTTTCCCAGAATGCTACAGGAAAAGCTGTGCATCATCTCTCTCACACACACACACAGGCATTTACAGCTCAGAAATAGCACATAATTACAGTTATTCTGAACGGCTCTCTGAGCACAGCCCAAAATGAAAACACAGCCTCGCCACATGAACACAGCCATCTTAATGCAGTGTGCAACCATAAACCAGCTGTTAAATCAGGCTACAGGACAGGATTAGTTATCAATATCATGTGTATGGATATGGGTGTTTGCTAAAACTATAACTATTAGACAGATGTTTCATTCACTGTCATTGCATGGAAAAGAGCAGCTTTGCATCCACCGATGAACGTCAAACAGCTTTGAGCGACACGAGGGAGGGTGAATATGTGGGTTGTGGGTTAGTAAAGAGTAGTGTGACACACAGACATCACGTCTCTCACTGAAAACCCATCATATGACGGCGCTCGAATCAAACCACAGCACTGAGAAAGCCATTACTGAGACTGCATTCAGCATTTATCAGTTTATTTGCCAGTAATGATCCTCTAGATTCACATCATGTGCCTTTCAACCGAAGCATCAAACAGTGAGAGCGGCTCAACGACGCCATTCCATCTCTGCATTTATTCAGTTAAACAAAAATGCATTATAAATGCAAAGACAGGACATATGTATCTGAGAACATGCAATAGAGCTCTACTATATAAGCTATTAAAATGCAACAACTATAAAAATAACCTTTAGTAGATAAGTTTATATAATAAGAAAATAAGTTTCAGTATTGTATTAAAGAAATATTATGAACATTCATAAACACATTATATTACAGATTTAATTTACAGATTTAAAAATGTTATACATAATTTTAAAATGAAATGTAGTAAATAATGTAAATAAGTATATTTTGATATTTTATTAAAATAAATATATTTTATGCACATACATAAGTGCTATCAAACGATTAATCGCGATTAAGCACATCCAAAATAAAAGTTTGCATGCATGTGTATATTTATTATGTATATATAAATACACACACACACACATACAGTATATATTTTGAAACAATGTACATGTATATATTTAAATTCATATTATATATAAATATATTTAATATATAAACAACATATTTTCTTAAATATATGCATGCATGCGTGTATTTATATATACATAATAAATATACACAGTACACACATATATTATGTAAACAAAAACTTTTAAAGGTTAAATAAATAAATAAAATAATGCAATGTACATTTTAAAAGTTAGTAAGTATATTTAGATATTTTATTTAAAATAAACATGTATTATATTTATTTAAAAATAAATATGTATTATACATACACATATATACAAAAAAAATTATCTGACCAATCAGTGTGGTGTAACCGACAGGAACTAATTTTGGTTGTTATGTGTCAAGAAAACCATAAAACAGGAAATGACATCACAGAGAGTTTGGCAACACCCCATGATATTCCACAATTTCATGAGGTTTGTATAAAAAAATATCTTTCTTTTTAAGACATAGACATATTTTATTCTATTTTTTACTTTGACACTTTTAGGATCATTAAAGTTTCTTTTTAAAACATACAACGTTGATTTTTGTAAGAATTAGACATACACACACACACACTCTCACACACTCACACTCACACTCTCACTCACACACACTCTCACTCACACTCACACACACACACACACACACACTCTCACTCTCACACACACACAAACCAAACAACACGACGAGCTAACAGCATGTGTGTTTACATCACGTAATTCACCGCAGCTCTCGGAAGTTAGCACATCGCACTAATTACTTCATTCGTAAGCAATTAAGACGCCCCGTCTCTAATCGTCCACACACACACAGCTGAGTAAACACAGTAAACCTCAGCACAGGTGTGAGGGAAGGCAGGACACACACACACACACACACGCTTTAATTCATCCCAGGACATGACAGAGACTAAATACTGTAAAAGCCAATGTACTTTAATATCAATCTCAATATCAATACAAAATAACTTAAAATAATTCAAAATGTTAGCAAGTATATATATTATTATGTTTTCACACACATATATATACACACACACACACACATCACATATAAATAAAATACATATTTCTGATATAAAATATTCAAAATATAAAAATACAAATATATATATATATACAAATATATATATACACACACACACACGTGACATTATATTTAATATATTATATTTATCTATTTTAATACAATAATACATAGTCTAATAAAAATACCTATTTAATATAAATAATATATTTTAATATTAACTAAGTAATAAATTATATTAAATAGTATATATATAATAGTAATTAATTAAGTAATAAAATTAATACATATTATAAAACAATATTTTAACTATATATACACACACATTTAATTTATATTATATAACATTTTTTTTCTTTTTTATAAATATATATATATATATAGAGTTGGATTTGAGCTGATGTTTATGTGAGAGCAAACCCGGCCACACCTGTTTCTTCCTCTGTCAGTCTAACGGCTTTGATGAACTTGGAGATGCATGCGAGACCAAAGACAGAAATCATGCATCTCTCTTTTTTTATGAGGCTCTGTGACATTTTGCCCTCGTGGTACTTTACAGTTTAACATGCATGAAGAGAAATGTGTTTAAGTGACTACGCTTCTGGATTTAATGAGAGAAACGAGGCAAAGCAGACGAGGAAGCGGCAGAAGATCGAGTGACGTGATGCTCTGAAGCACTGAACAACATTTCATCTTCCTGTGAAACTTCCTCTCAGGCTGTGAAAGAACCAAACCGTCTCAATGCACTTTTGTGTTTTAAACATCCGTTTCCGAGCGGACTGACAGCTTGACACCTGCGTGTGTCCACGGGAAGAACATTTTCCTGTCTGGATTTGCCCTCAATGATCAACGTCACTAAAAACAGACGTGAAAACGGAAGTCATTTAGTGGCTGCAGCTGGGTTATTTGAGTTGACTAAATCTAAAACCATTCAAAAATAAAATAAATAATTACTTGAAATAATGTTAACTAAAAAGAAATAGATTAAAAACATAAGCAAATGATTCTCCTTTGACCGAATTTGTAAATGAATTGTTCCTTTGAGTCAGTTCGTTTTATTGATTTGGTGGAGTTCAAACTGTGAAATATTTAGATATTTAATTCAATACAAAAGAAGAGCATGCAAAATACAAAAAGATTCGTTCAAAGGAATCGACTCACTGAATCAGATGCTGAGTTTAAACATTTTCACGCGTTTCTTGTAACTTATCTTCTCTGCGTGATACATGTGTGCATTTTAAACTCATTTACATATCACACACTTGTTATAGTGAGCTATAATCTGACCAGATTGAATCACTTTCATGCAGGTTAGGGATATAATATAGACTTGAAAAATATATATTCCTTTAATTGTTATAAAATAGTATTTTATTTTAATTTTATTGTTAAAGAATATATTATATATTACACATATTAATATATGTGTGTGTTTTAATAGTTTGATTAGTTTTAATGATTTGAATAATTTTATATAGAAGCCTTTTTCCACCATGACTTTCTCACACATTTCTGACTTTTTTCTTGCAATTCTAAGAATATTCTAAAAATATCTGAATTGTGAGAAAACTCAGGATCGGGGAATACAAACTCAAGATATAGTTGCAATAGTTTATAAAGTTTAACTTCAGCTACTAAAAGATCTAAATACTGAAACAGAAATTTATAAAAACTCAAACATTTTTTTTAAATACTAAAAATTACAAAAACACAACAAAAGTAGTAAAACTTAAAAAATATGATTCAACTGATTCAAAATATGAATAAAAACTATAATACACTCTCAATGCTACTAAAATAACCCTGGATTATAATGCATGCTGGACGTCATGTCTGGTGATCTAATGCAGAGATCTGCAGAAGTGAATATTTAATGACTATGAAGCTTATTTCTATTTTGGTAGAAATGAAATCATAGGTTTAAACAGGACATTCAGCCAGATGCATTGTGGGAAGAAACATCTATGCTGCCTTCAATAAATGACCGTCTGAGTGTCTTCAGGTTTCAGACACAGCCGTACTATTACTGGACGGACTTCAAACAGACTAAAGCTGGACGATATGACATCTAGTGGCTGAAATCATCTGTGCACATCAAGCATTCAGTGTACAAACCACAAACAATCATAAAACAAGCATAAAACTAAATACACCTCACAGCAGATGTCATTGCATTAAATCACAGCGGCTGTATCTGTGCTAGAACGCTGCAGGATTCATGTCAAATGATTAGCTTTTAAAAAAAGATGCATTAAGATACTTCACAATAAATGACACTTGATTTAATATTGTGTAATAATTGTGAATTAATCATCGTTGTGCCACTGCTTCATAACAGCTAATCTCTAAACTCATTTATCCATGAAGTGAATTTTGCTTTGAATAATCCATGAATTATCCAAGAATAGTTTGTTTTACAATCCATGTTCATACTGCCATAATCAGATGCAGTTTCTAGGGAAAAAATAATAATTTCATATAATTCCCAGCTATTTACAATTAATATTTCTCAAGTCAATTTCAGACACAACCTTAAAGTCTCGATTACAAAGACATATTTAAAACACCACACTCTGAACCCAGTAGCGGGGCATGTTGTCACATTACAGTATATGGGGTAAGTTGTCACAATAGCAACCTGCTGTTTATTAACACTGACTGAACAAGAATTTGTTGAAATATGAAACGAATTTAAAATCTATTATGTTTTTTAATTATTTAATGGCTTATTCAGCTAAATTTAAAACAGTAAGACAATTATTAAACATAAAATAAATCAAAAAGTGGCTAAAATAGAAATGGTATCCCAATTGTGGGGGTTATCGTTTGTCGACTCAAAAGCAATTAAAAGAGGAGGAATTTAGTTTGGAGGACAGGATTCACAACCCAAAAATATATATTTTAAGACAGATATAGATCTTGTGACAACTTGCCCCAGCCTCTACTTTGAGCTCAAACTTCTTAAGATGAATTTTTTTTTAAGTCTTATGAACTTCAAAGGCAGATAAAACACCATCCTTCACTTTAAATGTACCTATACTGATAAATTCAAAGTTTCTTGCAAGACTCTCTCCAACCAGAGGCTAAATGAGTTTTAATTGGCCTCATTTCTATAATGATCTTCACAAATGACCTCTTCTGTAGCCCTCAGAAGAGCACTTTATCTGACTTCATCTCAATCCCTAACGCAAACTCCTCTAATCTAGCACTGACAGGGTCAAACTGATGGATTATTCAGAGTTCTGATGGCTATCAGAACCGAACTTCATCACCATTAATCTTCATAAGCGTGACTCTCGATCCGCACATTAGCATTTCAATCCACTAATATCAAATAGCTTTTATGTGGATTGATAAGATTTTGGCATGTAGGTTTCATCCATATTCGATTATATCTTACTGAATGCTGAGTTTCTGATTTGAGATGCTAGGATGAAGCTCACGAAGCCTGTCAAGAACACCCACAAAACCCACTGAAAAATGAGAATATTTTGCATTTTTTCCACATTTGTTTCCTGAAAATGAATTTAATGTTTCGTGTTTTAATGTTGGAGTGTCGTTATGACAATACGACATGTTTTTGGTGAGATTTATCCTATTAAGTTGATTTGTTTACATTCCTTCCTTCAGTCAGTCAGATATGAAGTTACCTGTTTTCTTCTCGCTGTCGCATCAAAAGCGCTATAAACTCAGCTCAGGGTGTGAAAAACTTCATAAAGTTATTCAAATATCAAAATGATGGCCGTAAATGTCTACGTAATCGTTAGTTTAATCGAGTTCTCTTGTTTGCTAAACTGCAACAAAGTAACTCAAAGCGATACATTCGCAAAGATTCTCTTTTGATTGTTGCGACGTCTAATTCGAAAACGAATCGTTCATTTGAGTCGGTTCTTTTAAATGATCCGGTCGAGTTCAAACCGTGGGTTTGAAACACTGATCAATTATACTAGATCAGTGGTTTGGAACTGGAAAATACAGAACTGGAACGGTCTACTACATTTTAATTCACTTCGAAAGAAGATCTCGTAAAATACAAAAAGATTCATTCGAACGAATCGTCTCACTGAATCAGATGCTGAGTTTAAACGTTTTCATGCGTTTCTTGAAACTTATCTTCTCTGCATGATACATGTGTGCGCTCTAAACCCATTTACATATCACACACTCGATATAGTGTGTTATAATCTGACCAGACTGAATCATAGTCGTGCAATCTAACGCAGAATCAGTAGCATGCCGCTAGATCAGATCCGGTCTGTTTCTAGCCCACACTGGTTTTTATGCTTCGCTCTTTTCACAACTGCAGCAATGCAGCTTCACGCAACATCCATGCATGTGAGGAGAAGCTCGATCACATAAAGCACTGCAGAAACTGAATCACTCACCATCGCCGTGAAACAGCCTCCGCCTTCACAACAGAGCAAACACACTCCAGCAGATCTCTGCACGGCTGGAATCACACACACACTCGGGAGAGAAAGAAAGAAGGCACTCGTGGTTTGGAAGAGGGGTTCTTTGAGCGCTTCCAGCTTCTGCTGCTTGGAGTATTTGGGAAGCACGCTCATCACGGCACGAGGAATATGTCTTCCAGAAGCCACCGGCATCATTTACCCACATACATGATGCAGCTCTACCGACACTTCAAGCTCAACCACACGCGTCCCGTGGAGACTGTAGAGCACGAGCAAGCGGACACCATCAAGAGCATCCTCTCCAAGAGTAAGATCTGCTATTCTTTTCTATCCTGCACTAAAGTTTGGGAAGGAGTCTCTGAAGCTCTTTTTGGCTCCTGGCTGTCAAATCTCAGCGCCAGACTCCTTCAATCCACATCGTCCTCCAGCAGGACTAATGCTCTGCTGCGCAAAACTGATGTGGATTAGAGCCTCGCCAGACATCCTCACACAAACCCAAATCAACATCAGCCCCTCGGCTCTTGTTCACACGTCGCCTGATTAGATTAGGAGCGCGGCACGGGGCGTTTAACGGGGGTCTGGAGGTGTTAAACGATGGGTTTCGATCCGGTGTTCGTTCTGAAGGGATTAGGCTCGCGCTGCCTCGCCCCTCCGTTAAGATAAATCTAATATCTGATCGATACTGCATGACTTTTCATCAGACTGATGATCTCTAATTCAAGACATGAAACTAGTTTAACTGATGTGGTCTACACTGAGTGTGGTTCTTAATATCTGATATACTAAACTTAAACTCATTTGCATAAAGATGTATTGTGTGG